CCCCCAGCGCTGCCGCTGCTCGGAAACCTCCTCCAGGTGTCCCCGTTCCGCACGCTGCAGTCTGGGCACTGCTCAAGGTGGGAATTTTGGGAATTCTGGGGATTTTGGGAGATTTAAAGGGAATTTGGGGAGGTTTGGGTGGGTTTTGATGGAATTTGGGTCAATTTACGGCAAATTTTGTGGGATTTGGGTGAATTTGGGGGGATTTTTATGGTTTTTTTATGGATTTTTTTTTATTTTTTATGGGATTTTTGTCAGATTTTTACTATCCCTGACTCTGCTGACCCCTCTCAGCTGAGTGACCGGTCTGGCCCAGGGACTGCTGTGCAGCTGGGACCAGTTTGGGTTCATTTAGGTCGATTTTGGTGCCATTACCTTAAATTTTGCCGAATTTTAGTGGGATTTTTGTCAATCTTAATGGGATTATTTTTTATTTTAATGGGATTAAATTTTAAAAAATATTAATGGGGTTTTTGTGGAGTTTTTGATATTGCTGACCCTGCTGACCCCTCCCAGCTGAGTGAACAGTCTTGCCCAGTGTGCCCAGATTAGCTGGACTTGATTTGGGTCAATTTTGATGGGATTTGGGTGAATTTTACTGTATTTGAATGTGATTTTAAAAAATCTTCATGGGATTTTGGTGGGGTTTTCACTGTCCCTGACCCCGCTGACCCCTGGCAGCTGAGTGACCGCTACGGGCCAGTGTTCACAGTGTGGCTGGGCCCCCGGCCAGTGCTGGTGCTGTGTGGGACCCAGGCTGTGCACGAGGCACTCGTGGGGAACCCCGAGGTGTTCTCAGAGTGTGGGCAGATGCCAACTCTGGAGAGCACCTTCAGGGGATATGGTGAGAGCCCAAATCACCCCAAACATATCCCAAAAATACCCTAAATCCACCCCAAACAGGCCCCCTAAAAACCCAAATCCACTTCAGAAACCCCCCAAAATTATCCCAAAGCCAAAAAAACCACCAAAAATACCCCAACACGATCCCCAACCCCCCAAAAAATACCCCAAAATGCACCAAAAAAGTACTCCAAATTATCCCCAAAAATCAGCCAAAAGGATCCTCAAAAATACCCCAAAACCATCCCAAAATTTTCTCAAAATTCATCCCCCAAAAAACCCCCAAAAAATCACAAGACCACACAAAAAAAAAAATTCCAAAAAATCCCCCAAATCACCTCAAAGTTATCTCAAAATTTATTTCAAAAAACACCAAAAATACTCCAAAACACCCCAAAATTACCCCAGAATTCATGCCAAACCCACTCCAAAACCATCTTCAAAATACCCTGGATTCCCCATTTTCCTTGATTTTCCATGAATTTAACACAAATTTTCCGAATTTCTGCCCCTTCCCAATGGGTTTTTTTCCTAGTTCCATTGTTTTTCCCCATTTCCCCTGGATTTTTTCCATATTCCCTCAATTTTCTTCCCTTTCCCAATGTTTTTTTCCCCATTTCCTATGAATTCTTCCCCATTTCCCAGAGATTTTTCTTCCCCCGATGCATTTTCTGCATTTTCCTGATTCGCATGAATTTTTCACCATTCCAGGTGTGATTTTCTGGGATGGGGAGCACTGGCAGCAGCTCTGGCACTTTTCCCTGACAGATTTACCACTCTTTTCCATGGATTTTTTCCACATTTCCAATTTCTGCCCCTTCCCATGGAATTTTCCCCATTTCCCCTCTTCTCATGGATTTCTCTCCTGTTTTTTCCCATTTCCCATTGTTTTTAACCCCACTTTCTTCCTAATGGATTTTTCCCAATTCCCATAGATTTTTCCTCATTCCAGGTGTGGTTTTTGCGGATGGGGAGCGCTGGCGGCAGCTCCGGCGCTTCTCCCTGATGGTGCTCCGGGATTTTGGGATGGGCCGCCAGAGCATCGAGAGCCGGATCCAGGAGGAGGCCCAGGAGCTGCTCCACGAGTTCCAGAAAACCCAACGTATCAAATTTTGGGGGACTTCGGAGGGTTTTAGGAGGTGGGAAAAATCATGGAAATTATCCCAAAAAATCAGCCAGAAAAAGCCACACCAGAATCAGGCCAAAATAGTCCAAAATTATTCTAAATTATCCCCAAAAACACACTGAAATCAGCCCAAAACTGCCCCAAACTCCAGAAATCACCCCCCCCCACAAATTATTGCAAAATTCATTCCAAAAAACCATGTCAGAACCACCCCAAAATTATGCCAAAATAATCCCAAGAAATTATTACAAAACTACTCCAGAATCAGCCCAAAATCATCCCAAAAAACCACATTGGAATCTGCTCAAAATCCCTCAAAATTGCACCAAATCAGCCCAAAAACTGCACCAAAATCAGCCCAAAATACCCCAAAATTATCCCAAAATATAATCCCAAAAAATAGCTCTAAATCACCCAAAAAATAACCCTAGACCCCCCAAAACTACCCCCAAAATACCTTAAATATTCCCCAAAATCCCCCCCAAATGACCCCAAAACCACCTCAAAACCACCCTGAAAATATCCCAAAATTATCCCAAAACTCACCCCAAAAAACCCACACTGGAACCACCCCAAAAATCTCCCCAAATCCCCCAAAACCACCCCAAAATTATCCCCAAAATCACCTCTAAAATAGCTAAAAGTGATCCCCCAAAAATCATCCCGAAAAACTGAAAACCACCCAAAACCCACCCCAAAAATCCCCTCAAATTATCCCAAAATTATTCCTGAGGTACCCCAAAATTATCCCCAAAAAATCATCCCAAAACCACTATGAAATTATCCCCAAAAATATTCTTGGAAAAATCCCAGAAAAGTCCTAGAAAACCCCCAAACCATTGGATATTTCGCCAAATCCCTCAGGGTTTTCAGGTTTTGGGGTAGATTTGGGTTGATTTTTTTTGATGATTATTTTTGGGGGATTTTTGGAGCATTTGGGATTGGTTTTGGGGTGATTCCACGTGGCTTTTGGGATCATTTTTTGGGATTGTTTTGGGGTGTTTTGGGGTTTTTGGAATGATGGGTGATTCCACGTGGCTTTTGGGATCATTTTTTGGGATTGTTTTGGGGTGTTTTGGGGTTTTTGGAATGAATTTTGGGATATTTTAGGGTGGTTTGGGGTTTTTAGGATGATTTTTTGGGATCATTTGGGGGATTTTTGGATCAGTTTTGGGGTGATTTTGGGCTGATACCAGTCCAGTTTTTTGTGATAAATTTTGGGATCAATTTGGGGTGGTTTTAGGTGGTTTCTGGGTGGTTTTTAGGTGGTTTTGGGTTTTTATGATTATTTTTTGGGATCATTTTGGAGAGTTCTGGGGGTTATTTTGGGACATTTTTGGAGAAGCTTTGGGGTGATTTTGGGGTAAATTTGGGATGGTTCCAGATGATTTTTGGGATAATTTTGAGGTATTTTTGGGATGATTTTGGGGATCATTTTGGGGTGGTTCCAGTGTGGATTTTTGGAATGAATTTTGGGATAATTTGGCGGTATTTTGGGACCATAAAACCCAAAAAAAGCTGGAATTTTTCCCAATTTTCCCAGGAAAACCCTTCAATCCCATGTTCCTTCTAAGCTACGCCGTGTTCAGCATCATCTGCTTTATCCCAAAGAATTACCCCAAATCCATCCCAAAACTACTCCAAAATTATCCCAAAAAATTGTTTTCTTGGAAAAATCCCAGAAAAGTCCCAAAAATGCAGAAATTTCCTCCAAATTTCCCAGGGAAACCCTTCGACCCCACATTCCTGCTGAGCTGCGCCGTGTCCAATATCATCTGCTCCATTGTTTTTGGGAATCGCTTCCAGTACCAGGATCCTGAATTCCTGGAGCTGCTGCGTCTCATGAACGAGAGTTTTCGGGAGATGAGCACGGCCTGGGCACAGGTGTGGGATTTCAGGAATACTGAGGAGATTTGGGGGAACGTTTTGGGAATTTTTTGGGGGATTTTTTGGGGGGATTTTTGAGGTTTTGAGAGGAATTTTCTGGATTTTTGGAGTGGTGTCCAATCACTCAGATTCCCAAAATCCAGAATTTTTGGAAGTGACAGAAACTCTGGAGAATTTAGGAGTTCTTGGGTGAAAGCAGGGAATTTTGGGGGATTTTTGGGAATCTTTTTGAACTATTTTTGAATTTCTGGGGAACTTTTTTTTTGGGCAATTTTGAGGGATTTGGGGTTTTTTGGGATGTGATTTATAAATTCCTGGAGCTGCTGCACGTCATGGACAAGAGTTTTAGGGAGATGAGTGCAGCCTGGGTGCAGGTGCATGATTTTGGGGAACTTTTTGGGAATTTTTTTTTGAATTTTGGGAATTTGGGGGATTTGGGAGGGATGGGGTTAGGATTGACTTGGAGAAATTTTTGGGGTATTTGGAACAGTTTCAATTCCAAAAATCCAGAATTTTCAGAGTTGCAGGAAATGATGAAGAATTTTTAGGAGTTTTGGGGTGAAATTAGAGAATTTTGGGGAATTTTTGAGAATTTTGTGGGGTTTAGGAGAGTTTTTGTGAATGACTTCAGTTCCCAAAATCTGGAATTCTTGGAATGTTTTGAGGATTTAGGATTTTCTGGGATTTAGGGGCATGATTTTGGGGTTTTTTTGAGTGTTTTTTGGGAGAAGTTTTTGTGATGATTTTTCTGAATTTTTTTGGTTTGTTTTGGGGAGTTTTTGGGATGGTTTCTGGGTAATTTCTTGGGAGTTTTGGGGATGTTTTGTTGGTGTTTCAGGTGTGATTTTAGGGCAGTTTTTGGTTTTTTTGGGTGGTGATTTTTGGGTGTTTTTGGGCTGTTTTAGGTCAGTTTTTGGGGAGTTTTTTGGGATGGTTTTAGAATGGTTTTGGGGTGATTTTAGGGTTGGTTTTAAGGTGTTTTAGGATGATTTTGAGGTATTTTTGGGGTATTTTTTGTGCTGCTTTGGGGTGTTTTTTGGGTTAATTTTGTTTTTGGGATGAATTTAGGATGGTTTTGGTGTTATTTTTGTTGTTTTTTTCAGGCATTTAGGGGTGATTTTTAGGGTGATTTTCTGTCTGGTTTTGGGATGATTTTGAGGTGTTTTGGTGGTGGTTTTGGGGAGATTTTTGGTGTGTTTTCCTTAATGTTTTTGGGGCAATTCTGTCATTTTGGAGTCAATTTTGGGATTTTTGGTGTCCTCAAAGATTGTCCTGTGACATTTCTGCAGTTAGTCCGCACCTGCTGGGGAGGATGAGGAGCTCAGGGCATTTTGGGGTGATTTCAGGTGGTTTGGAGGTATTTTGAGGGTGGGTTTTTTTATGTTGTTTTTGAGGTGTTTTTGGGCTGCTTTTGGGGTCATTTTTGGGCTGTTTTAAGAGGTGTTTTTCGGGTGGCTTGTGGGTGATTTTTCTGGATTTTTGGAATGATTTGTGGATATTTTTGGAAAGTTGTTTTGGGCTGGTTTTGGGGTGCTTTTGGGACTGGTTTACGTGTGTTTGACAAGTTGTTTTTGCAATATTTTTAGGATGATTTAGGGGTACTTTTGGTGCCATTTTTAGTGTGGTTTTGGTTTTTTGGGTGGTTTTGAGAGGAATTTTCTGGATTTTTGGAGTGGTTTTTCTGGATTTTTTGGGAGGACTTTGAGGTGTTTCTGGAATAGTTTTGGGGGGTTTGGTGTGGGGTATAGGTTCATTTTTGGGCTGTTTTGGTGTGAGTTTTAAGCTAGTTTTTGTGATAACTTTGAGGCAATTTTTGTGATAATTTTGGGACAATTTCTGTGGTGGTTTTGGGATAATTTTGGGATTTTTGGTGTCCTGAAAGCTGTAGGCTATGGCTGAACCATTGCTATGGTTCATGCTGGGCTCACACTGGTGCATCCTGCTACTGCTGGCAATGATGAGGAGATTGAGGTGATTTGGGGTGGTTTTGGGGTGGTTTTAGGTGTCGTTTTGAGGTGTTTTAGGGATGATTTTGGGATGGTTTTGAGGTGTTGTTTTTTATTTTTTTAAATGACTTGTGAAGTTTTTGGGGTGTTTTGGAGAGATTTCTGGGATGGTTTTGAGGAGGATTTTGGGTGTTTTTGATGTGGTTTTTGGTGTGGTTTTAGCTTTTTTAAGGGTGTTTTTGGGGATGATTTTGGGGTGATTTTAACGTGCTTTCAATACTGCTTTTTGGGATGTTTTTTGTATATGGGGTGGGTTTTGAGGTATTATTGGTATAATTTTGAGGTATTTTGGTGTGGTTTTTTCTGTGGTTTTGGGACAATTTTGAGGTGTTTTGGGGGTGATTCTTGGCATGTTTTTCATGAGAATTTTGAGGCAGTTTTTGCAGGGTTTTGGGGGTATTTTCGGGCTGATTTTGACAATTTTTGGCTCCCCACCTGTACAACATGGCCAAACCCTTCCTTTGGTTGGTGCTGGGGCCACACTGAGAGAATAAGGAGCTCTGGGGGCATTTTGGGTGGTTTTGGGATGTTTTGGGACGATTTGGTGGTGGTTTTGGGCAGGCTTTGGGGTGCTTTTAGGGTGGTGTTTGGGGTGATTTTTTGCTGTTTCTGGGGTGTTTTTGGGGTGCTTTTTGGGGTGATTTTGAGGAGTTTCTGAGCTGGTTTGGGGGTGGTGTTTGCAGTGATTTTGGGGTGATTTTGGTATTTTTTTGATGATTTTTTGGTGTGGTTTTGGGATGTTTTTGGTGTACTTTTGGGGATGGTTTGGGGGGTGGTTTTTTGGGTGATTTTTCTGGATTTTTAGGGATGATTTAGGGTTGTTTTGGGGGAATTTTTTTGGGGTATTTGCAGTGATTTTAGGGCTTGGTGATCTGTAGATTCTCTGGATGATTTTGGGCTGATCTTGGGGTACTTTGGGATGATTCTTGGGGTGATTTTCTGGATGCTTTTGGGGTATTTTTCAGGTTGTTTTGGGGATAATTTTAGGAATATTTTTTTTTAATTTTTGGGCTCCCTGAAGCTGTACAACATGGCCGAGCCATTGCTGAAGTTCGTGCCGGGCCCGCACCGGCGCATCCCACAGCTGCTGGGGACAATGAGGAGTTTCGTTGCCCAGCGTGTGCAGGACAACGCCCGGACCCTTGACCCCCACAGCCCCCGCGACTTCATCGATGCCTTCCTCATCCAGATGAACAAGGTGGGGGTTTAGGGGGCTCCTGGGGGGTTTTTGGTCAGGCCTGGGGCAGTTTTGTGGGGTCCCGGGGGCTTGGGAAGGCTTCTGGGGGGTTTTTGGGGCAGGTTCTGGGCAGGACTGGGAGTGTTTGGGGGAGTCTTGGGGGTCCTGGAGGGGGTTCTAAGCACTTTGGGGGCTTTGGGAGGGTTCTGGAGAGGTTTGGGAGGGCTGTTGAGGGATTTGGGGGGTTTTGGGGTCTTAGGAGGGGTTGACGAGAGGTCCTGGGAGGTTTACATGGGATCTGGGCAGGTTAGGGGGGGTCCTGGAGGGTCTTGGGGGATTTGGGGATGGGTCCTGGAGGGATTGGGGGGGATTTGGGAGGATTCTGAGGGGTTCTTGAGGGGTTTAGGGGTCCTGGGGGGATTTTCAGGGGTCTTGCAGAAGTTTGAGGGTGTTTGGGGTGGTTTTGGTTGGATCTTTGGGGGATCCTGGGGTGGTTTCCAGATTTTAGAGTGGAATGCCTGGGTTTTTGCAGGAAAAGGACAACCCCAAGTCAGAATTCACAATGGAGAACCTGGAATTGACTACCCTGAACCTTTTCTTTGCCGGCACTGAGACCGTGAGCTCCACACTGCGCTTTGGCCTCCTCTTCCTTATGAGGCACCCCACGGTGGAAGGTGAGACCTCAAACCCAATTCCCATCCCAAATTCCTAAAACCCAAATTCTGAATCCCAAATTCTGAAATCTCCAAATTCCCAATCCTGCGTCCAAAATTCCCAATTGCCAATCTCAATTCCCAAATCCCAAATTCCCAAATTCCCAAATTCCTAGTCGCCAAATCCCAAATTCCCAAATTCCCCAATCCCAAATCCCAAAATCCCAAATCCCCAAACTTCCGTTCCTCCAATCCCAGATTCCCAAATTCCCCATTCCAAATCCTGATTTTCCGGCCCCCAGAGAAGATTTTCGAGGAGATTTCACAGGTGGTGGGCTTTGGCCGGGCTCCAGCCCTCGCTGACCGCTCGCTGATGCCGTTCACTGATGCCACGATCCACGAGATCCAGCGCTGCAGCGACCTCATCCCCATGAACGTCCCGCACCGGGTGACGCGGGACACGGAATTCCGGGGCTTCTGCATCCCCAAGGCGAGGGAAAAACCCCCAAATCCCCCAATATTTCATCTAAAACCACCCTAAAACCATCCTGAAATTATTTTAAAAAATGTCCCTAAAACCTCTCTGAAATCTCCCTGAAGTCCCTCTGAAATATCCCTAAAATCCCCTGAAATCCCCCTAAGAAAACCCGCTGAAAAGCTCTCTGAAATTCCCCTGAAATTCTCCTAAAAAGTCCCCCTAAAATGCCTCTGAAATCCCAAAATCTTCTTGGAATCCTCCTAAATTCCTCCTGAAATTCCACTTGACATCTTCCTTAAAAATTCCTCTAAAATCCCCCTAAAATATACCAAAAATCCTCCTGAAATTCCTTGAAATTCCCCTAAAAAATCCTCCTGAAATCCCCTTAAAATCTCCTAAAATCCCACTAAAAGAACCAAATGAAAATCCCCCTGAAATTCCCCTAAAACCCTCTGCAATTACCCTAAAACCTCCTGAAACTTCCCTAACCCCCTGTAAAATCTCCTGAAATTCCCCTAAATACCCCCTGTAAAATCTCCTGAAATTCCCCTAAATACCCCCATAAAATCTCTTGAAATGTTCCTAATATTACATTAAAAAAACCTAAAACCCCTCTGAAATTCCCCTAAAAAACCTACTAAAATCACTGAAATTCCCCTAAAAAATCCTACAATCTCCTGAAATTCCCCTAAAAATCCTCCTAAAAACCTCTGTAAAATCTCCAAAAATCCTCCTGAAGTTCCCCTAAGATCCCAAAGGTGAGAGGAAATCCCTAATACCCCTTGGAATTCCCCCAAAACTTCCATTGCAGGGATTCCTGATCCCAAAGGTGACAGAAAATCCAGAAATCCCCTGAAATTCCCCTAAAAACACCTGGAATGACCCCAAGGACCTCTCTGACCCCACAGATGACCCCAACTGATCCCAACTACCCCAAATGACCCTAGTAATCCCAAGTCACCCCAATGACCCCAAATGACCGCTCTGACCCCACACCTGACCTCAAATGACTCTTCTGACCCCACAGGGCACAGACGTTTACCCCCTGCTGAGCTCGGTCCTAAATGACCCTGAATCCTTCAAAAACCCCCAAAACTTCGACCCTGGGAACTTCCTGGACGAGCAGGGTCGGTTCCAGCGCAACGAGGCCTTTGTGCCCTTCTCAGCTGGTGGGCACCACAAAAACCCCCCAAAATCCCATTAATCCTTGGGGCCCTAAATCCCTCTGAAATCCCCAAAATCCCAAAATTCCTTTGGGGTGGGGTCCTAAATTCTGGAATCCCAAAAATCCCATAAAACCTTTGGGGAGGGGCCCTACATCCTTTTGGGATCCCCTAAATCCCATAAATCCTCAGGGTGGGAACCCCAGACCCATTTGGGATCCCCACCCCTGAAACCCCCAGACCCTTTTGGGACCTCAGTCCCAAAGCTCCCAGACCCCTCCAGACCTTGAAATCCCCAGACCCTTTCTGGGGTCCCCCAGACCCTTTTGGGAGCCCATAGCCCCCAAAGTCCCCAGACCCCTTAGAAACCCCCAGG